TAGGAAACATCAAACAGTAACACTGACTTTTTCGCACTTCGAGCCCGACTGAATGCGAAATCAAACAAGACTGTGAAACCTTCATCTTTCACTTAACACTTGCTAGTACGACGCTTCCTTCAGGCAAAAATGAAACGCTACGCCGCTAGTCCAAGTCAAGAATACATGGCTCTTTCTCCTCGCAAAGGGACCGTTCGAAGGATTTTACCCTTGAGCTGAAGGGTGAAATGTGAGACCTCTCAAAAAAGAGCCGGAGAATCATGGCAATTTTAACTCCAACAGGGATTGATTTCCCTTTAAAAGCAAGGGAAGCCAGCATAGGGCAGCTGGTGCTTGTCTGAGCACAGCGCGACAGCACGTTCCAACACCGATTTTGGCCTCGCTGGTGACCTTCTTCTACGATTGATGAACTTGGCAGGGGAGATACCTTAGGCAGGCGTGGTCACAGTGTTTTGTGTATTGTGGCCATTCATGAGGCATACTGGGAAAAGCGGGCTTACCGGTAGTGTTCGTTTTTTCCAATCAAGGGAACACATCAAAACAGCACGGTAAGCTGCCTAATGAACGCTCATTTGTGTGACTGATCCGTAGTTTGAGCGATCCGTGGTTTCTGACTCCGAGGGAATATGAACATTCGAATCCTTCGAAGGCGAAAAGCCGGTCCCCCGATAGAATCAATTGCTCATGAGTCATTACTCAACCAATTAGAATCATCAAGACAGCTTTTGAAAATCTAGAAAACCGTGAAGCTGTCACAAATCAATCTGAAACAGTGACAGTTTTCATTGCGTGTAGTCAGTGGAAATGTATGGTTTGTTTTTATTCTGAATGTGAAGCAAAAGCACCTGTACGTCGTGGTTGCGTGTCACTTGAAGGAAGGTTTTTTTTAGATCACTGGTCATTTGAAGATAAAGATAGTAACATATTAGTTACTCCTGTAGATTTCCTCCTGTGAGTGAAGCCAGTCCGTCCTGAAAAGCTAAGAAGCACTGTGCGGTTGTTCCAAACCCATTGGGAATCACCATTAGTGCACATCTCACGAAAGTTCATTAGGGAGTTTCACATCCGCCACCCCAAGGCTACCCACACCCGTTCGGCCACGAGCGGCTGATCAGCAGTGCGATCAACTCTCACCTAGATAGGATACAGCGCCGTTTGATCGTTCACTCACGAAATCCTCATAATGTTGTCACACTCGTTTATTGATTCTTCGGATGGCGACTTCTTAGATGGAAGGTGAGTTTTATCCACCCTCTAATCTATATACAAATCGTTATTAGTGTAGGGGAGTTTGGGGATTTTAACGGAGATCTCATCCTTAAGCGACGCCGAGAAGTACCGTATTCCAACTACTATTCGGGAGACGCGGGTTCCAGACTCTCTACTGGTGTTTTGTGAGATGTGCACCGGAAATGATTCTTAATAAGGATGAAACCGCTGCGCACGGCTTGTCGGCGCTTCAGATTCAGCAATTGGTTGGTACTGTCACGACCAATAGATGAAAAGTGTCCCGTTTGGAGAATACTTTTCCTGCGACATCAGAGGGTTTACCAACGAATCAAACAGGCAAGGGACCCTTCGAAAGTAAGTGGTTCACCTCATACCAAAGACAGTCAGTATATGTGGTTCATTGTGTAACCAGCCACATACTCTTTTGACTACTTGTGAACAGTCAGAATGTTTTATCTGATTGGTCATCGCGAAGGACTCCGGAATAACTAGAACATGGGCTCAATTCTTGTGGTCACGATTATGTTAGATTCAGAATAGTTCAGCTACCAGGCTTTTTGGTTCATGTTGGAACTGATCAGGAAGGTACAGAGGGACAGCACGTGATCGTTGCAAAAGTTTTTTTATAACAAAAACACGTTTCCATAGTTTTGCTCTAAAAATAAACTAATAAGTTCAGGAGACCTTCATTCGTCACGTGAGCTAGCGAATCGGTTGCTTTCCAATGCGGACAAGTGACTACTTTGACCAGATACCCACACAAAGTAACCATTGCGTTTTATGCTGAAAGCAGTTCCGCTCTGCACTTACGCCAGTCATCTGCGACATCAATTCAGCTGCGCTACTCAACTTTTACGCCAATTGTTAACCTCTGTGAAGCTTTTCAACCCAACCATCATAAGCTGCAATTTTCTAACCATCCAACCTCGCTTGTCATTTTGAAAATCCTTGAGTAACTGAGATATTAATTCGAGAATTTTTGAGGAATTACCGGTAAATATTCTATTTTAGCTCCCGACGGATGCCCTCCGATGCGTGAACTGCGTCTGTTCTGGAGCTTACCTTCTAGTTTTGTTTACTAGATTCTCGGCATCGAAACAAGGCTAACAACCAATACATCCGTAGTTTTCCATTGCCTTGCTCCACATCACATCGCTAAGGTCCGAAACCTTCGAGCAGAGCGGAAGTCTCTTCAAACTTCTTGCAGCAGAGGATTTCCGAGGTGCATTTCAACCTCACTGTTACAATCATCTGCCATTTCTCGGCTTGTTTTGGCGTAGGACCCCTCAACTTTTACCTTTTCTAATGAGAAAACATATGTTTGGGACCGAGGCTTACTGCGCAGAAGCGAGATGGTTCTGCTCAATGGTTGGATGATTTTGCTTGCAAAGCGGATTCGCAACTGAACAATGACGGGAACAGTCACTGCTGTTTATCCCTCCATTTTGTTTCTTAGTTGGGGACTTTTATGCTCAGCGGTTTTTTTCGCCCAATGCAAAGCTGTTGAGATCCATCAAGACGTTGTTTTCGACGATGTGTTTCTTATCTGGGGGGGGGGTTGTCTTGTTATTCTTTAAGACCTGTAGCAATGACGCAGTTTCACTGAGACATCACTTCTTTACATCAGTCTCTCATCACTGTCAGACATTCTAGTTTACACATCTGATGACATCCCGTATTGAGCGCTCATATCTAACCTTTTCTTTTCTGTATTGTCTTCTGAATGAACGCCACTGTCTGTTCTGGCACTGCATATTTTCCACTCCCCAACTTACCGCGCTGCAGAGCCTCGGGGTGATTCTATACATACTCGTCTGCGGATCATTTCCATTCCCCGGTGAATCGCTCGGTGACATTCGTACTCAGGTTTTACGAGGCTTGGTCCGTTTCCCGTTCTTCCTATCAACCGCTTGTGAGCAAGTCATTCGTTGCATGCTTCAGGTGGATCCAGCACGTCGATTCAAGTTAAAGCAAGTGAGGTTATCTACGATCGTGTTTCCTCACCGCTATTACGATTCCGTTTTTTCTTGGGATTTGACTGTTATCCATCCCAGACCCTCTGCGTATTCTTGGACCTGTTTGTAGACTTTGCGGATTCCACTAAAAACTGTCAATTAGTTGACGTGCAACGTCACCAACATTTTGAAATTCTCTGTAACAATTGGGCCAAAAAGAAAGTGGCAAAGTGCAAACGTAAAAAATACTATTCTGTTCCCATATCAGAACGGTTTTGCTTGTTACGAATTCAAATATACTCGCAAGTCGATACCTTGTTGCAAAGCAGTCTACTCGGTCAGTCCTTGACCAGCTGCTTACCACCGTCTGTGTTCCGAAACGTCCATCACGCAGCCTACGGTGCTGCGCACGTCGCTGTTGAGGCCATAACAATATCTGGAAACGTTTTGTCAGAGGCATTGTCAGGCTTTTGGAGTTAGAACGTATTATTTCGGCACGCATTCTTTTGAATACCTTGTCCGCTGTGAGAATGTCAGCTGATTGTGCGCATGAAACTCAAGGGGCAGTCTAATCAATCGGTAGCCGTAAATCGTATGAGCCCTGCGTTAGCATTAGAGCAACAGCAAGGTTTTCCACCTTACTGTGACTGACTGCCGTCAGTTCTGACCACAACACGTGTTTGCAATAAACTAGAAGGCCCTTTCGTATCTTCGTGAACACACCGAAAAAGGCGTACTTGTTGGAACTAACCGGTACCAGATAGGTCATCCCAAACTTCTACGAGTATTTTTTCACTTATTTCCACGGGATCGTTGAAAAAAACTCTGGGTCCCAAAGTACCTGTTGGGGATGAGCTTGGATTCAGCCGATATCCGCCTTTTTACGGAACCACTGGTTTCTGGACTACTCTGCATGACCCTTACTGCAAAATTGCCTATGTTTTAAACTGTTTTTGTGTGGACCTAATAAAAGTGTTGAGTTGCAATCTGCTGTCGAAAATGACCACATAGTTGTCGTGTTAATGGTACCAACGTTGGTGCACTAATAAGCTTGGTCAGTGTGGTACATATTTATCCATCTACGCCAATGCTCGGGGAACCTAACTAGTCAGTGTTTCTGAAACAAGCAGCGAGGCGCGATGGTGACAGAGCTGAAACTATGCTTCAAAAGTATAGATAGATGTCTTTGTGCATTTCTGATGAACTTGGTGAACTAAATGTTTGACCGATGGGTCGAAATGTTTGTAGCTCGGGTGCGTTTACTGTTGGTTAATCAGATGGCAGTTGATCTGTTCACCCAGCTTGGCAATTGGCATTGGGACGAAACACTTACAAGCCAATTGCCGTGCTCGGCGAACAGACCAACTGCCACTAGTGAATGTTTAACCGTTTCGAATCAACCGTAAATCCTTTTCCCAGGTGTGCTCTCACCAGCAACTATGAAATACCGGTGACTTTTGCAAGTCTGAAGAGTACACTATCTAAGGCATGCAACTACTGAGTTTGTGGGCCGCAATTTCATAAGAATGCTCGCAAGCCCCGTGCGGGTTTGCGCCTAGAACATCCCAACTGTCATATCCGTGTATCTCGTGCAACGAAAGTTGTGTTTAGTCTACCCCTCCTGTTTGAACTCCATTCTTCAGTGGCAGCAGCCCTATGATGAGTTACATGTTGCTTAGAGTAGGCTCCTATGAAGTTGTGGGCAAGGTGGCCCCCGTGCGGGTTTGCGCCTAGAACATCCCAGGTGTATCTCGTGCAACGAAAATTGTGTTTAGTCTACCGCTCCTATTTGAACTCTATTCTTCAGCGGCAGCAGCCCTATGATGAGTTACATATCGGTTAGAGTAGGGTCCTATGAACTTGCGGGCGAGGCAAGGTGGCCCAGTGGTTACAGCGCAGATTTACTGACCGGAAGGTCTGTGGTTCGAATCCGACCTCCGCCTCTTGACTTCCCCTGGGCAACCTGGCAGTATCCCAGCCCTCGTGCTTCTTTCTGGTGGCATCGCAGTTAGGCATCGAAAGGGTGTTACAGCTGAACGATTATCTATTATTATATTTTCCTATGAATCCATATGCTCCTTGTTTCACGTTTTTAGCTCCTCACCACGGGGATTTATGGTCTAGTCCGAGAAAAAAATTGATTTAGACTTTGAAGTGGTATTTTCCTCTCCGTCACTCCAGTTTTAAGACATTCATATACTGTACCTACCTGTATGCGTATTCTGATTGACAGACTGTACGTCATGTGGGTCAACAAGTGTTAGCTGGTCAGAAATCATAATGATCATATCTGACTGTTACTCACAAATGTCCCAGCTGATCGGCAGGGGTGGTCAGTGCTCAGTAATCTGGTCCACAGAGTGATATATCGAATAAAACCTCTCTTCCTTTGTAATTTTTGTCATACAAGTTGATTTTTGCTATCTAGGTTGTCGACACGTCACCATCTTGTCTACCGGTGAAAGGAAGAAGGCCTTCGCTGCGGAGTTATATATTAGAGAATGCCGACTGACCAGTTATAGACTATTGGATATGGAAGCAAAACTCTCATATGCATCTTCATGACGAAAACTGAACATCCACCTTCTCTTGAACGCGTCTTCCTGAACTTTCCTGGATATTCATTGAGTGTTGCTCAAATCCGAGCAAATGCTACAAGGCGATTCCACAAATCCCATAATAGATTTTCCTTTTCAAGAGACTCAAAGCAAAGTTATAAGAAGAAAACGTACTACTCGCATGCCTTCCCCACCAGTAGTATCACCGTTACACCGGCGGTTGTGTTTACGAAACTACCGTCAGCACCATATTGTTACATGGGCCGAAAAAACACTGATTGGCTCTAAGAATCTTTAGAAAAGGCTGCGCACGACACCGAAAACGTTGGATTATTATATCTTATTCAAGTACGCTACGTTTTGACTTTAAAATTTCCATGGAAATCAGGCTTAGTTGCTCGGTGTATTGATGGGATTTTGTTAACAGCATCGAAGGTGTTTCTGAGAAAATAATTCATGTGCGCTGTATGACTGGATGACAAAAGGTCGATTTTACGGCTTTAACCATTTCTCTCGAATGCCAAAACACCGTCCACTTCCTACTATTTGCGGTATCATGAATAAGTGAGCCGTGCATGGCAGTGTTGATCAATTACTTGGACGAAGATAAATTTCGCAAAACAGACGTAGTGTGTTCAGGCAGCAGGTTCGGTCCAACCCAAAACCTCCGTAATGCCTATTACTCATCACTCCAAACGACTGTACACATGGTTCTCAAGCCGCTCAGCTACAAATGTATTTGACAAAAATGGTCAAACTTCGTGCAAGGGCCGTCAAATGTCACGTGACCAGATGGCGACCTCAATGATGGTTGATGACCGAACACAGTAATCGATAAATCATGAATTTTTCGGATCTGAACCACCAAAGCGCTGTATTCTCTAAGTTGATTGCGATGGGTCAAATTGTAAATTGAATGGCTGCCAGTCAAGACGGTTGAAGCAACATTCAGTTTTGTTTCAGCCTCCTTGTCTTTTCTATAGAGCTCTGTGATTCGGTACTTTCTTAACTTGGCTCATTCGTCCCATCAGATTATCAGCATGCCTTGGATGCAAGCCTCCCCCAATGTTGCACACTATCAGGCCACGATGATAAAATTTGAAGAAAAGGCGAAAGAACGGCATTTCGACGAAATTTTCCGCCGTCAGTACCCAGAACACAGTGAGTTGGTCAAATTCGAGCAGGTGGAACGCGCCGAACGTCGACTAGATGCTGGAGTTCTTCGAGCTCTTGCCATCGGAGTGGGATTTGATGAATCCCAGGTAATTGTCCGAAACCCATATTCAGTCTCAGTCAGTTCGATTTTCCTTTCCTCTACTTGGTTTGAGCCCCATCCTTTCTGTACCCCTCAGGTACGAACATCTACCCTACAGAACAAATGTGATCGATTCCACGCTGCTTACCAGCTATTGGTGGAAAAAATCCGCCGTTTTAGTCGAAATCCGCATCTTTGTCAGGCGGTCAACGACGCTGTTTACGCCCCAAAACTTCGACGTCGGAGTAGCGGGCTTCTTGGTCGGCGCTCATCATCCATCAGTTCCAGTCCTGTGGGAATAAACTGTCCGGCGATGCTCAGCCACAATACTAGTGGGGCATCCATTGAATTGAGTGAGACCAGTACTATTCGTCACGGCGTCCAGCTAGCCACGGTTCCTGATGTGATTGACGAGGCAATGGCTGAGGCGGAAAATGAAACGGCTGAATCTGGCACCGTGACAGATAACCTGGTTTCAACTACTGGTACAGCGACCTCCCACTCGCCTTCTATTGGTTCGTCATCTGCGTTGCATGACAGAGCAAAAGACTGGTACAGTCAATCTCAGGTTCGTGCAATGGTATCCGTTGACCTAGATACAGTTTGGCTCATGCCGCTCATCAGACAGGACTTCATTGCTGAGAAATTATGTAATTTGACCTGTAATCATCAGTCTGACTTGATTTGTAAGGCGCCCACTACTGGTCCTCTCGCTTCAGACTGCCGGTGATTGGACCGAAGTAGGCTAAGGGTAGATGGGGCAACAGTCAGTCCCCAGCTACCTCTTGCAGGTGGACGAGTCAGCTCCAAGTATTCCTGAGAATTCGGTTCAAGAATGCACGTCCAATCTTTGCCTACCTTTTTGTGGCCTGCAAGGCCACAAGAAGGCTGTGGAGAGCAATCTAGCGGAACACTTATTGTGGTTGTTTGTTCGGGAAATCCACCTCATACACTCGGTCCGTTAAGTTCTCATTCCACCACTGACCACGGCTGACGGGACAGATCCCCGGGTGTATCATGTGGAGGACCAATTAACCCAACGCTGAAGTCCCTTCAGCCAAACACACATGAATGGTAATGTATGACGAACTTCCCAAGTCACACTATGAATTTATCTAAAATGAAGTGGATGATTTAGATCTCCTCTCCCAGTTCATGTTGTCTGGAACTTCGGTGTCATGTTATGGCTGGCTCGCCATCAGAAGACTACCATACTTGGCCCAGGTGCTTATCTTACCACGTTTTCCATTGCCTTGCTTTGTGCATTTCCTAGAAGAAAAAATGGTCGTAGTTATGGCTTTGTCATCCGACGTTCTCCATTATTTACCCCTCCCATGACAGCCTGGATGCGTCGAATTGAATGTGGCGCTCTTCATTCTAAAGGTGAGTTTAATCCGCTCTTTTTCCAAACTGCAACACAACGAACTTTTTTTCAATAGTGTGTGTGTGTGTGTGCGGTTCCCTACCATCTTGGCAGAGTGGTATGTGGGTATATTGCTGGTGCAACCACAGATCTCCAGGATGAGGATATCTGCGACTCTACCGTCTCTTGACTTGCTAGTGTCGATGGAGTTTGTACTGTCAGTTGCTATTTGGATTTTCGAACGAATTATTAGAAGGTCTGTGCGCGTCGAGATTCTTTCGATGCGCTATCCGTTTGCTATCGTTTCCCTTCTGGAGCTCTTTACATGTGTTTAACTGCAACACATTGGTTCCAAGCCTGGTCCAGCGTCGAATCACTTTACTGACCAGTCTGTGGGGTTCCAAAATTAAACACCGTCGTTGGTTTTCTGAATAGATTCTAACGACAACCAGCAAATTAGGCGGTGTAAGCGAGTTAGTCGCAGTTTTTCGGAGAGCTACAAAACTAGACTAGCTTGATTCTCATAAGTCCTCAAAAGGGCAGATCTTTGGAAAAAGTGGGCGACAAGCGTGATACGATGCGAGTGACCAACAAGTAAGTGCTGCTTTCCCGGGAACAAGACCCAAACAACTGTTCGACCCAACACCAATCGACGCCAATAAACTTCTATTTAGGTCTGGCAGAAGTCTGCAATCGAGATCGTACGACTGCAACGTACGATTGTGTTCCAAATACGCACTTCCGAGTGCAAGGTACACTGACCCGTGTTGAACATGATGGTTCTCCCTGACGCCGCCATTCAAGATCTACATTCTCACAAACCGTACTGAAGAGAACATGCGTTCGCTTCTATAGATCACACTCATCGTGACAGGCGAACAATTCCACCTGTTGTCTCATCACACACTGTGTCGATCACTTCACCCGCAGTTGCGGTAAATTTTTGTGCGGGACAAACGGACAGAAACCTTGAAGCGAGGAGTCCGGAGCATCCCGTTCTTTGGTGGTTGAAGAGGTGGACACTGGACAAACAATCGGTCAATCTTTCGAAAATTCCCATTTATAATAAGAACACAGATGGGTTGACGAACGCTTTCGGTAAGGTCTTTTCAAGCCATACAATTGCAAAGGTTAATAGAGCATATTTGAATGAGTATGATGTAAATGGACAAGAAATCGAGTGAGACGACATTGGCTACCTATCAAAGAACGATTAGTTCAAGTCACCACTTGAGCTAGTCAGCGCGGGGTGCTGTAGTTGTGTGTTCAGCACAAGGTGAATGTATGAGGGGAGGTGAGTTGGACCATGGTAAGTACAGCACACGAACAAAGCGTTTTTGCCGACGGAGGATCGGGTCCCGATGTCGTATGGCGATGGCTTCAGCCACTGCAATTGTGCGCTGCTGTACTGATCTGGGTTGGTTAGCCGGCGCCTTGTAAACAATGCGGAAACTTTGGCTGGGTATCACGTTGTGTGCAGTGTCAGCTAAATGTTGTACTACGGAGCTGGTTATCGTCCTCCTAGTTCCAGAAGCTAGCCAGGGTGGATTGTGTTCCTTCATTCTTTGGCCGAGTTGCCTAGTCGTGCGTCCGATGTATTCCGCTGCACAGCAGCAAGAGAATGAGAGAATGGGCGTGGACAGGCACTCTATCCTTGAGATTAAAAGGGCATAAACGATTGCTGGTGAACCAGGTTCGGAGTGTTGCTGCCGGGAAAACTTTGTTCTCCCGTTTAAGGGAGGTCTGCCGGCCGATCTACTGAACAGAAGACCTTCCACCAGTCTGAACATACTATTCAAATATTGTTAAATACTGCTCTCTTAACTTTTGTATGACTTGAAAAGACCTTGCTGAAAATTGGTCGATCCATTGTCAATTGTTAAGTGCGCTCTCTCCTCAGTCCTAACGCAGTGCAATCCGCTGAAATTCATGGAAGGCTTATTAATCAATCGGTACGGGCCACCTTTTAAATGCTAAGAAGTATTTGTCAGTTAGATTATTTTTGTCCTCATTTACATGGATGAGTAAACTTCACTGGATTTTCTTCTCTTTGTATTGCTTATGCGGTTTTGCGCGGAAGCTTGTCCCTTTTATGGAATAAATGTTGCTTGTGCCTTTTTCAAATAATAAATGTGAATTTGGTGTTGCTCATCTTTTTAATCGCCTCACGCCCACACAGTATTTTCCATTATAAATTTCGCTCCGTCCCTTCAACAACAATCAGGCTGATGAAGACGCTTTGCTACTCCAGCTTGGTGTGGTCAGCCCACTGGTAGCAGCTGTTCCAATCAGCAACGCAGTACGCAGACATACTGTCCAATTGACTGGCTCTCCACTCGCACCTCAATCTCACATTCCCCATTCAGGCACCGAAACAAATCAGGCTAACACGAAGGATCAAGGAATGAACCAAGGCGAGAGCTCACATAGGCTTCCTTCGCATCCTTTCTCCAGACAGACGACACAACCGCATATCGGTGGGTTACAGCACTATAAAGACCAAGTTGAACGTCACGAAGCCATGATTCGAGTGAGTAGACAATTAATCCCTACCTAGACTGTCCTGTTCATCATTCTGACTAAATGACTTTCTTTCGTTTCACTCTAGACCGCCTTGAACTGGATGCCGGATCCACTGCATTTCGGTAGAGAGTTCTCTCCCAGTGACGAAACCGACTCAAATCGTACTACTAGACACCCTCATGCTATTGGTAAGCGCCCTCTGGACCTCCCGTCCCTGGAATTGGGTCAGGAGGCAGCAACCACCCGTCCGCCAGACCGCCCTCTTCGTCCTGGACTGCAGCGTGGCTCCTCTATGCAAGATTCTGATGACGAGCATGTGGAAACAACCATACAGGAACGCGGTTGTCAGTCCCAAGCTGAACAGACTCAAGCTACATCTGAGGGTGCTCACTTCGGTGAAAGTTCGTCACTTGCTCAGGCTGGTTATCCGATTGTAGACATCCCAACGGCACAAGGCAAGTGAATTGATGCTCCATTCCAAATTTCGAGTTCGTGTAAAACAGCTGGTCTTGATTGTCTTTTAACAGCGAACGCGACACCTTCTATTGACTTAAGTTTGTACACTTGCTTGGCCACTGTATTCGTTGTCCAGCTATAGCACACTTCGTCCGTGGCTAGCTGCCATGCCGCCTGAAGGAAGCACGACGGCTGTAATACTGTCTAGACGGGAGAATTTGAGATGCCGGGTCGAATTCAAACCGCGAACTTCCTGGCCAGTAAGTTCGCGCCTTAGCCACCCAGCTATCTTGAGCTTATTCGGCCATCGAGATTTCTGCATTTTTGGAACCCGCTTGCAAGAATTCGCTACCCGGCATAGGATGCATAGGATGTCTATACTTGTTTTAGCATATAGTCGTTTGAAATAGGACCTTTCAGGCTGGCAGGACAATCTGTCCCGAACTCAAGTTGTCACCTTGTCCAGGTGACCAGGCCTCAGTGCTGCATATATCTTGTGGGCTACTCTGACTGAAATTGTGTTCACTGAGGTCCGTTCATGTCAGAAAGACAGTTTGACAGGAGAAGACGAGAAATCATATGATGGACGGTTTAGAGGTAAAACTTTAATAAAATGAGTGAGCAGTAAGGTGTTTCTTCCGTTGTTGATCAATTAGCAGCTCGCCGAATTTGGTAATTGGCTAGAAGACCTTGTCACCATGAGAGGTGGCTCAGTGGTAAGAGCGTGAATTTACTGACCGGAAGGTCCGTGGTTCGAACCCGACCTCTGCCTCTCGACTTCCCCTGTCTAGGCTTGGGCAACCTGACAGTATCTCAGCCCTCGTGCTTCTTTCTGGTGGCATCGCAGTTAGGCACCGAAAGGGTGCTACAGCTGAACGATTTCTTTTCCACCATATGAGAGGGAACATCGTCAGTGAGCGGTTGTGTGGTTGATTTTCCCACTTCTGCTTGCGTCCGTATGGTTTTTAAAGTATGGTTAACATCCGTAACATGGTTGATTATCAGACATATTATTGATTAGACACACTGACAGTAGGGTCTTTCCCAAGGCAACGATAATTTTCATGTCTATGGAGGCAGCGATGTTGCCTTTCCCCAAGGCCATCCCCAAATCTGCCTACCTCGATTCCTCAACGGTTGACTGACGAAAATCCAGTACGGTCGAATTTACAGTTTAAACTAACCGAGAGCCCGATGCAACCCGAAAAGTATCTGATGTTTTCAGTAGAATCAGGAGTGAGGTGTTTCTGCGTCCTTGTACTATGCGAGCACGCTGTAGCCTACTAGGCCAGAATACTGGGTCATCAGATTCGAGCAGTGTCCTCGGTTAAAGCCCTAACAACCGTTGCCCCGTGGTTCGAACTTTTGAGTAGGAGGTTAAGGGAAGGATTCTCGAAAAAGATCTTCCCTTCTCCTAATTTCTTGTGGGTCAGGCTTCCGAGTCAAAGGCTCAAGTTCCAATTAATCAACCATGCCCCTTCTTCAGCCCGAGCGACCGCAGTTCATTCACCAAACTTTTGACTTACGTCCCTCACCGAAGTTTTATTTGCTGTCAACCCCCGACCGTTGATCTATATTTAAACTCCTGTCTGGTAAAGCACGCCAAACTAATTCTTCTTTTAAGTATAGTTGGCTGCAACCCCCGACCCCAAAACCCAAGTGACGGAAAAAGACATACAGCAAGAACACACTAAGGTTAAGTGGGTGCAAAATTACGGGACGTATCGCGGTACTTGAAGCACACTTTTTCTCTTGAATCAAGGCTCTCTGGTTGGGTTCGTCTTCTGAGCAATCGAGTGTCGTCACTATTTCCTGACTGGCTGCTTGAGTATCAAATCAGCAGTTAATGTATGTGGCCCGAAGACTCAGTGGCCATCCTGATACCATTTCGTGGGAACTGGCGGTTCCCAGTAAGTTTTGAACATTACGGGGTTATTTTCCGGAATCTGAGCTTCCTGCTTTAACGTTTTTCAACATCTTTACTCTGTTTCGAATTCGATAATTCCATTCTCTTCTTTCTCAAACCTTGTTCTCTCTTCGGATCGATGTATGTTGTGTCTCAAACACTCATAGAAAATCCGTGCTCGGTCATGCACCTCAAACTGCCAGGAATGAGTCCAGATTTTGCGCACTTAACTCTTCAAATGTCCAGTGATCCTGATGCAATAGTCCGTGGTGCCTATAGCATGAGATCTGTGCTTAGCTCCAAGACTGGATTTTAGAAAACAGTCGTTTGTGCGCTGTTAGGTTCGATCAAGATCACCGCACTTCGACATGATAAACGGTACTTGTTTTTTTTTGCCAGCATATATGTGACAGCATTTTGGAGGCTGAGAAAGATAGCTTCTATCGAGATTTTTGATGGTCGTATCAGTCAGCAAGAAGTGCAGATATTGTGATCCTGACAACTTATGTAAATGCCAAGGTCGGCTGACTAAGTGCGGAAGAAACCCATCTTAGCGGCCGATTCGGGGTTGATACTCACGGCACAGATAATTAAGAATGACTCCTTCAATTATGTGTTGAAATTTAACCGTTTCTAATCAGTCCCAACTTTGGCGCAACCGACCATGTCGTGTTATCTAGAGGCCACGAACTAGAAATCATGTGGCAATCTATTCCTAATAGCGAACTTCCATGATAGTGATACTAACCGTTTAGCTGCAACACCCTTTCGGTGGATAGCTGTCATATCACCGAATGATGAACCAGGGCTGAGATACTGCCAATTTATCCAAGCCAGACGGGACCAGTCGAGACGCAGATGTTGGGTTCGAACCATTGGCTTTCTGGTCAGTAATTTTGTGCCCCAATCACTGAGCTCTCTCGAACTTCGACACAGGATTGTCGAGAAAACTTGAAGGGAACCATTCTGAGGCTTGTACAATGTGTGTACCTCGCCACGGTCAGCAGATGCCAGAAAAACCATATCAGCAACAAGCAATCATGATGGCGTGCACCGCTTCCTTAAACGCCACACAGTAAAGAGCCTTACGACTGATGGAAAGCAGTGTTGGATATAGGAGGCTCGGGATGTGGAGAAAGTTATCGCAACCGAAAACAGCTACGCCTCATTCCAGTCAATCTAACCAACTCGTCCGAAGAGGGAAGGTTTTAGTGAAACAATCTCTGGAAATGGAGGTACTACAGATCCTTCGCAAAGACGTCTTGAACTATGGCTAAAAAATGATGATCATTTTAACTGGCGCTCACCAACTCATCCTCTAGAAAGACCACGTAGACCTGACGGAACGTCGAAACCGGGAGTCCAGAATGGAATTTAATTGCTTCCTCTTCAACTTCATCATTGATACGATCATAGAAGACTCACTACCAGCCTCTAATGCCTATGGGGTCGAAGTTCTCCCTGGACCTCCAATCACAGACATCGAGTACGCAGACGACATAGCTCTTCTTGGATCTGACCCCGTGGCAATGCAAACAAAACTAAATAATCTAAATAACTCTGCCTCGCGGTTTGGTATGCGCTTCACACCCGCAAAGTGTAAAGTGCTGCTGCAAGATTGGGTGGGATCGAACCCTAGCCTCATGCTTGCGGATGAACCGATTGAGGTAGTAGACAAATTTGTTTACCTGGGCAGCTGTATCAGT